GCCATTCAATTGAGCGATAACATTCGAAGCGGATGCATTTAATAAGTTAATCCAGAAACATATTTCAAGTGGTCTCTTGTTTATTTATTTACTTATTTATTTATAGAAAATTAAGTAGGACATAATTGACTGCAGGATGTTACATAATAATCCACATTTAAAATACCTCAGGTGTGCATTATTTTCTAATAATTTAACGGCCCGGTGTGTATTATTTTGCTTATACTTTGGTTTCCAAAGCTGCTCTAATCTTCAGATGATATACACTGCAAGAAATGCTTTTTTCTTATATTTTTGTCTTGTTTCTAGTCTAAATATCCTTAAATTTTCAAATCAAGACGCTCTTTCTAGACAAGCAAACAATATTGTCTTGATTTAAAGGGCCCCTATGGTGAAAATCAAGTTGTTTGGATAGATTATGTGTATTCTAGTGTGTCCACAGCCATATTGGAGTGATATAAACACAAGTCTCTTTTTTTGTTTAATCTCCTGATGTTAAAATAGGATCTAAATCCTTCAATTTTTAAGTGCGTGATCTGCTCTCTGTGATCATCAATCATCATCAAATGTGATCAAGAATGGAGAGGCGTCTGGCTGCAGACTGGGTGCAATCTGAGCTGCATGCAATGCTTTTGAATAACCTAACCTGTCACTCGCTCCATTGAGTGTATTGTGTCTGACATTGCATCTCTGAGATATGCAAAGTCAGCTTGCATCATTAAGACTGCATCCAGATACTATTGCAAGAATGAGTTTTACTAGTATAACACGTGTTTAAAACAGTGCATGTTTGTGATAAAGTCAGTAAAATCACTTTAACTCATCAGCACAGCCACGTGTCAGTACAATTATAAAAGAAGACGCTTCAATCCTGGTTTGTGGATGTTAAATCAGGTTGATTTAGTACGTAACATAATGGATATCCATACGGCAGTGGAGATTAACCTGTATCCTGACTAACGCAATCTCACGGCAATTCGTAACTTTTGGATTTAGTGGCTAATTTGTATGAATTTGTGCAGTCTAGTTCGTTGAATTTAGTAGGATTTGACCATCACCCAATGACGGTTTGGGTTAGGGGTGGAGTTAGGTGCCACGCCTCCTTTTTAAAATCGTATATTTTTGGTTCGACTGAACTCGTACGAATTAGCCACTAAACTGACAAAACGTAAAATACATACGTTTTCTCGTGAGATCAGGCTGATCCTGACACATTTGCGTGCAAAAACACTACAAAGCTTAATTTGTGTTTTTGTGTGCGCGTGTAAACTTTGTGTGTGACTCATCGTTGCAGAAAGGCTTGAATGAACTCCACAACGAATGCATCTAATAACCATTAGGAAAGTTCTTACTGTAGTAAGGGAGATCGTCTTCATTCTTGTCTGTCACTGTGCTGTTTATCTCTGTGAGACACAGCAGGTGAAGGCTACGCCCATCAGAGCAATAGTGAGAGATCTCTATGGCTCTGACAGGCATGTGGGAATGGTGGGTGGGGAGAACCAGCTCCCTAATTTGCTCAGCTAATTTGCATTAAAAGCACAGGCAACACAAACAGCTACAGTGTCTTTCCAGCTCAAATGTTCAATGTACAGCAAGCTATAAACAACAATAATAAATAATAAAGCTATAATAAACAATCTGAGGGGTGTTTTGAGCTGAAACTTTACAGACACATTCTGGAGACACAAAAGACCTTGAAAAATGGGTCAAATAGGTGCCCCTTAAGTCTTTTTTTAGATAGATCTTCCACATCTCCTCTTCTGTTGTGTTCGGATGTGATTTCTGACTGTGGCAGCTGCAATAACTCTGATCTGTAATGCACTCAAAACCTGCCGGAACTACTTTAGCTGTGCCTTTATCTGAAAATAACGGCACATCCTAGAATATCCATCAAATAATGCATTTAACAGCCTGTAGTACAAGTTCATTATGTAACGCCATGTCAACAAACTGCAAAATAAAAGCAGAAATCTGACTTATTTGGTGATTTGTTGGCATTTTACCACAGTAGTGCTGTAGTTAACTGTATAATAATCACATCACTGAGGTGTCTGAGTGCTCATAATCGACTGAGGAATCAAAGCAGTGTTATTAAAACAAAGTCAGAGCTGGAAATCAGAGTTTAGCACTGCAGAGAAACCGTGATGTTGAGCGAGACAGGGAAAGAGCGGGCTGGAATCTGCTTTCAGGCCACATCAGGAACGGCTGGCTGCATTAGAGCTGCTATTATCCTCTCCAAGAGTCATAACAGCCAGAACACCCACCTCGACAGACCAGCGTGCAGAGAGAGGGAGTGAGAGGGAGAGAGAGAGAGAGAGACACTTCTAGATAGTTATAAATGAATCATTGTAAATATACTGATTACTATTATTTCTGTTTTATCCTAAAATGTTGGTTGTTTAATGTACAGTTTATTCTGATTTATTATTATTTACATTTTTATTTGTATTTTTTATTACTTTTACCTACTACTACACTGTAAAAAAAAAAAAGGTAAGGTAACTTAAACCATTTGAGGAAACCGATTGCAACAAACCTTTTATAGGGACACGAAACACCAGAACAGCTGTTTTGAGCTGTTGACAGTCGTATATGTGTCCCACACTGCTGTAAACACTATTAGCACACATATATTTCACAAAAAAAGTTAAAATTGGTTGTTTTTATCCAAATCCTTCCCTCTTTCCCTCCCTCGACACTCCCACTTAAACAAAGCTGAACACTTTCCTGACTTTTTCTAAACTAGAGGTGTAAAAACACCCTGCTGAAACGGGGGGTTTCATGCCTCTTTAAGTTCAAAAACTAATCCTAATGAGTTCTGTGAACTAAATCCATTTGAGAAAATGAAGCAATTTGAGCTCAGTAAAACCCAGTAAATGAAGAGAACTCAAACTAACTGAGTGCACTCTGAGAAATAGAGGTATGTGAGCTGTCATTAGGGGGGTTCCTTTTCAAAAGGTACACATTTGTACTTAAATGGTCCATATTTTTACCTCAAAAGTATGTATTAGTACCTAAAATATTTAAGAGGAACACTTTTGTACTTTTTAGGTACTAATATATATCCCTGAGATAATAATATGGACCTTTTAGGTACAAATGTGTATAAGAAACCACCCCACTGACAACTCGCGTACCTTCATTTCTGAGAGTGCACTATAAAAACCAATAAGTTTAGCAAACTCAAACCATGTGAGGAAACCGATTGCTACATTCATTCATTTTCTTGTCAGCATAGTCCCTTTATTAATCCGGGGTCGCCACAGCGCAATGAACCGCCAACTTATCCAGCAAGTTTTTACGCAGCGGATGCCCTTCCAGCCGCAACCCATCTCTGGGAAACATCCACAAACACATTCACACACACACTCATACACTACAGACAAATTAGTCTACCCAATTCTCCTGTACCGCATGTGTTTGGACTGTGCGGGAAACCGGAGCACCCCGAGGAAACACACGCGAAGGCTGGGAGAACATGCAAACTCCACACAGAAACGCCAACTAAGCCGAGGTTTGAACCACGAACCAACTTTAGAGCACAGTGATTGGATATTTACTTGCGGGGAGGAGTTTCCTCATCTCAGCTCATGGATTTACAGGCACACACAGTCAATTCAGTGAGATATAAAACACAAATTATTTAAACCACGTTTAATGAATTATTATTATCGCCAGACAGAATCAACGGATGTTTTACTTTGATAATATAGTAGGTAAAAACCTAAAATATTAAATAATAAAAAATTACTTTCAATCATGGTTCACAAGGCAAACCCAATCAGATGTTTGGCAAACAAAGCAAGTCTGTCATATAATCAATTTTAGAGACCCAATATATTGCTTTACACACTGTATTGTACATTAATCCTATAAACATCTCAGTCAATAAAATTACTGAAATTAATATATTTACACGCATTAAATTCAGTGCTTCATGGCTTTAACAATATAAATGTACAACGTATGTGTCACCAAATAATAGTGATGACATACAGTAATAGAGATAATATTATAGTAATAGTGATATAGTAATGGTAATATATATGATGCTGATGAGGGTGGCTCAGTGGTTAGCACTGTCGCCTCACAGCAAGAAGGTCACTAGTTTGAGCCTCGGCTGGGTAAGTTGGCATTTCTGTGTGGAGTTTGCATGTTCTCCCCGTGTTCCGGTCCCCCCCCCAGTCCAAACACGTGCTATAGGGGAATTGATGAGTGTGTATGTGTGTGAATGAGTGTGTATGGTTGTTTCCCAGTATTGGGCTGCAGCTGGAAGGGCATCCGCTGTGTAAAACATACATGCAAATAGTTGGCAGTTCATTCCACTGTGGTGACCCCTGATAAATAAGGGACTAACTCATACACTACGGACAATTTAGTTAATCAATTCACCTGTACTGCATGTGTTTGGACTGTGCGGGAAACCGGAGCACCTGGAGGAAACCCACGCCAACACGGGGAGAACATGCAAACTCCACACAGAAACACCAACTGACCCATTAAAATAATGCAGTAATGTTGACAGGTTATTATTCAGCTGACTTTACTGAGTAGAGGTGTGTGTGTGTGTGTGTGTGTGTGTGTGTGTGTGTGTGTGTGTTATACTGGTTTACTGTGAACACACCAGCAGTAGCAGGCATGTAGGTTTTGTCTGTGAGTTCTGACAGGTGTGTGTCCATATGTGCTGCAGTGTGTGTGTGTGTGTGTGTGTGTGTGTGTGTGTATCTGGTAACGTGTGCTAATGAGTTTCAGGCGCTAAATAGAGATCTTGCATAAAGCTACAGCTGCCTGCTCCAATAAATACCATGAGGGAGGTCTGACACACACACACACACACACACACACACACACACACACAGTAGACTAACACACACATTTATTGTCTTGTCATGATTTTCCCATTGTGGTTCATGATGTAAAGATGAATTCAGTGTGTGTATGAGTGTACGTTCTGTGGTGTGATGTGTTGAGGTGTAATGTGTGTGTGTTTGTGTTTGCAGAGGACTGTGGGTGTAGCGGGTGTGTCGGTCTCGATGCCAGTGGATATGCAGCCACACCAGGGGCTTTACCACTACGACAACACCAGCAACCAGCCGAGCAGAGGGTACCAACACACACACACACTCAATGTTCACACTCGTATATAACACACACACACTCACAACAATGTAGACACAACACTCAACATACACACACACACTTTATCTCTTGCTCAAACACACACACCCAAACAAAACATACACATTCAACGTTCAAAATGCTTTCTCATTCTCACACACACACACACACACACACACACAAACACGCTTACACGCATGCACACATACAACAAATCCACATACACCACACACAAAACACATACACCCAATGGTCACACTCGCATATAACACACACACACACACCACACACACACACACACACACCACACACACACACACACACAATGTAGACACAACACTCAACACACACACACTTTATCTCTTGCTCACACACACACACAACACACCCAAACAAAACATACATATTCAACGTTCAAAACGCTTTCTCACTTACACACACACACACTCACACACACATACAACAAACACACATACAACAAACACACATACACCACACACAAAACACACACACTCAACGCTCAACAAACGCACACACATACCTACAGGTACACACAAACACACAATGCTTAACACAGGCACTAAACACAACACTCCACATACACACACACACATACGCACACAGACATACCACACATAACACATACAATCATCACACCACACACACACAGACATGCCAAACTCATTGCTCAACACACACTCTCACACAATATGTAAATTAAATAAGATAAAGTGATGTCAAATAAAAAAAAGCATAATAATATAATTTATATTCAAGTTTGTTTTAGATTAATTAAATGTAATAATGGACTACAATATTTTTTATCTATTAAATTAATTTATTAAACATTAAATGTTCGTTTACCTGCATGTTTTTAGCCATTTATTGAACTGAACATGCACAAACAGTATATATATTTATAAATTTACTTATGCAAATATACTTAGTTATCTTATATATATATATATGCGCTACAAAGTGTAGTTTTCTTGAAAGCAGGGTTCGACAATAAGCATGGCCCAATATTATACTATATATAGACTAGACAAAGAGCGATGATCATTCACCCACAGACAGTCCTGCTGCTTTCAAAAGCTCAAGATAAAAAATACACATTGTTTTGTAGGCAGTAGCGGTCACTGTTTTCATTTTAATCATTCTTTGAACAGGTCACGCCAGTGGTGTAGTGGTTAGTGTGTTGACACATGCACTCCGGTGCTCGCGGCGACCCGGGTTCGATACCGCCTCATATTCTTATGCCGATCCTTCCCCTCTCTCTGCTCCCCATGCTTTCCTGTCAAGTAAATATATATATACTCTTTGAACAGATTATTAAAAGGCCTATATTAACCGTATGCACGTGAACATCCTCTCATTATCAAACACTGTATGTTTTACCTGCTTTCTTTCGCTTAGTTATTTTTGTTAATATAATTTAGTTTATTTTATAATATAATTTAATTATTATTTTTTTAAATAACTGGTGATCTTGGACTTTTAGCCTGGGCAGATTACTGTGCATATTTTAGATTTATGACAATAATTATTTTTTAAATGTAATGTTTTTTAAAGAAAAGGTTTGTTGAATTAAAAAGTGAACCTATAAAGCTGTATTTTCCTTGTTTTGACACATTAAAAAATTTGGGGCTAAAAATACTTATATGGAGTGGTCAGAGATAAATTTGGTAAATCCTTAATTTTGAGCCCTAAAAAGTCATGAAATAAAAACTGATTGCATTGCGACACACACCATTTGCTCACACAAGAAGTTAAATGAATGAGAAGGCATGTGGACTTAACACAATACCTAAATCAAGTCATTTTAGCATGTCAAAGTCAAATTTATGCATATAAAATATATTTTCCCAACAAGAAAAGTATGGCTAGTGAAAACGCAGAGTGGCTAGTAATGCTGGAAATCTACTAGCCACAGTGGCTGGTGATCAAAAAGGTTAATGTCAAGCCCTGTATGTATATATATATATATATATATATATATATATATATATATATATATATATATATATATATATATATATATATATGTGTGTGTGTGTGTGTGTGTGTGTGTGTGTGTGTGTGTGTGTATAGTGAAAACAAAACAGATTTATTAAACAGTTATATTTATTAAAATAATATTTTAGACATATTTAGAAATGGAAAGATAATACAATTTAATTCAAGCAAAATATTGCACAAATAAATTACAAACTATCAAATTTCAGCTTAATTATTTGCTTATCTTGATTTTTCCTCTTGTTTAAATGTGTATGTATTATTTTTCTAAAACACATAAATGTGGCTGTGCTAGTGTTTGAAGTGTTATTGTTAGTTATTTAGTTAGATTAGATTTGGCTTCAGGACTGACTAATCTAATGTATATGATAAATATAATATTGTAGAGCTTCCTATTGAACATACGAGCTTAAAAGAGAGATTTGTGAGGGATGTTCGCATATATGCTGAGCACTGTGTATTCAGAATTATGTTAAGATCTCAGAACACGAAGCTTGTATTATTAGCGAAGGCACAGTTAAAGCTTATGAATAATAATGAGGATGATGTCATAATGAGGGCTGAGGGTTTGGCCCCTCCCCCTCTGAATGCCACCCATGTTGAGCTGTCGGCAGACTCTCTCTCCCTCTCTCTCTCTCTCTCTGTGTGTGTGTGTGTTTCTCAGTGTCTCTCATCCGCTTTCTCTCTCTCTCTCACACACACACTTTCAATGAGCAACACACATACACAAACTCACTCTTACACACTCATATGTACGTACATACCTACATGCATTCATACACATGCAGTCATGCACACACTCTTTCTCTCTCTCTCTCACACACACACACACACACAAAGAGAGAGACATATACTTAAAGAGAGCAGCGTCACTGAAGCCCACACAGTCAGCATCAGAGAGTAAAGAGGAGGACGAGCAGACGACAGATAAACCTGATCAGTGTGTGCAGAACAGAGGAATGCTGGGGGATTCCCACTGATCTGAGTTCAGCCTTTATTTGAAGAGAAGTAGAAGAAAAGCTGAAGGAAGTGGCGCCTCACAGTGGCCAAACAGAGCAACTACTATAAACACTCGTGCTCACTGTATTATGTATGTCATTGCATAAATAAAACACTTGTGTGTGTGTGTATGTGTGTGTGTGTGTGTGTGTGTGTAGACTGGCTCCGTCAGTGAGGTCCCCCTACAGCAGTGAGGCGTCGTCTGTGTGTGTGGCGCTCTCTGGTGGTCAGTCTGTGAACAGCAGAGAGATGTATAATCCCTCCATGGCCCCTGGAGCTTGCATGGAGCCCTACATGCGGCCCCCACACGCCCCGCCACCGCACAGCATGATGGGACACCGCGGGATGCCTCCACCCGAGGGTGAGTGTTAATAATTTAGGAGTTTAAAACAACTTATCATAGCCTAACACTTCTGTAAAGTTCTGGCTGGTGATTCTGTTGTGCTCCTATATATATATATATATATATATATATATATATATATATATATATATATATATATATATAGCTGAAGTCAGAATGATTCGCCCCCTTTTTTTAAATAATATATATTTATTTAAATATTTAAATATATTAATTAATAAATATATTAATATTTAATAAAATATATTAAAATTTTAAAATTTTGTTTAATATTTTATATAGATAGATAGATAGATAGATAGATAGATAGATAGATAGATGATAGATAGATAGATAGATAGATAGATAGATGATAGATAGATAGATAGATAGATAGATAGATAGATAGATAGATAGATAGATAGATAGATAGATAGATAGATAGATGAAGTCAGAATGTTTCGCCCCCTTTAATTTTTTTCCTTTTTCAAATATTTCCCAAATAATGTTAAACAGGGCAAGGAAATGTTAACAGTATGTTTGATAATATTTTTTCTTCTGGAGAAAGTCTCATTTGTTTTATTTTGACAAGAATAAAAGCAATTTTTAATTTTTTAAACACCATTTTAAGGTCAATATTTTTAGCCCCTTTAAGCTATATAGTTTTTGATTTTCTACAGAACAAACCATCATTATACAATAACTTGTCTAATTATCCTAACCTGCCTAGTTATATATATATATAACTATATCAGAGCTCTTCTGATTGGTCCACTGCTGTGGAACTGACAGTAATGTGAAAGTTGAAGATTTTACAACTTGATGCGGCGTCCAAAAAAGCACGGCGTTCACACAGAATGCATATTTTTTTTCTCTCCAATGCATTACTTTTCTATTGCTTTTTAAAGGATCACAGAACCCTCGAGTATTTTTTTTGAGATGTTAACAGATGTGTGTGTGTTGAGCATCAGTTAGGACAATGTTAGCGCCTGTCAGCTTTAATTGTGGGGGAAACTGGATAATTTTGAGCGTTTGTCAGCTAATTTCAGCTTATGGGTTTAAAATGATTTTTGCTGCAGATCAAAATCAGTGACGTAGCTCAAAACTGCACGTTGACGCGTCGAGTTCTCATTATTATTCATAGCGGAGTTTTCTTATCCCATGAGAAGAGCCGGCTTCTTAATTATTCATGAGAGCATGTGCTTTCCGAAGACAAGACAGACCTGCCAGTGCCAAGCTCAGCTGTGAGATCCTACCTTGATGACTGGGTGAGACGCGTCCACGGCACACAGTATTTAGCTGTTCATGAAGGCTCGTATGTGTTTGTTTTCATGATCCACAGGGTTTGTTGCATGTTTTTCCCCGCGATGCTGTCAGGGCCGATACAGCAAAGCTGTTTGTGTCCAGCAAGCATTTTTGTCGGAAGAGCAGTACGAGACTTGGAGAATGGCGGACGTTGTCTTTTATCAGGAGTTCGTTCACATTTAGACACATCGCCGTGCTGCTGTGTTCACCTAAATCCTCCAGATTACCAGCAGCAGGGCTAATGGTTGAAATAGACTAGGCAAGAGACCTGCTGCACTGAGTCTGCATTCAGACCCGGGGATTGAGGGAGAAGTCCTCATTTATAGTGTTTATATGAACACCATTATCTTTATAATGATATAAATTGTGGTTATGTATGATATTACGAATAACAAATGCAGCAGGGCATTTAATTACTGTTTATTTCTTTGCATTTTAAATTTTGTTAACTATAAACTCATGCGTCTCACGGTTTGCGTCTCATTTTGTGAGCCGAATTACAACAGTTGTTTGCTCTCCTCCTTCTCCCCTACTCTGCTGACCACGCCCTCTCCTGCTCTTTGCTCACTGAGCTCTTGAGGTAGACCTGAGGTAGACCTGAACCGAAATAGGGGGTGTCATGACCCTTTAATGTAAAGCCTCCTTTCCACTCTACACGACAAACGACAAGCGACAGACCGGAAGTTATTCATTTGCTCATTCAGTTCCGATCATCTCTGTATGCGGAAAAATCAGATCCGAATTGAGCTGCGGATCCGCTGAAATATTTGAACTCCTGCGACTAAACCGTATGCGACCGGTCGACCGGATATGATGTATTCCAGTGTTGTCCAAGCAGATCCAAGATGAGAAATAGGAGTTTATTTGGTTATTTTTTTAATTATGAAAAGTCTAAATTAAAAAGAAACTTTTCTGTTTATAAATGTAAGTAAGAAAGTGATAAAAATATATATTTTTAATGTTGTCTCCACGTTCCCTCCAATATTTTAGCGGTCTATGAGTTTCTAGTATTCATTCATCCATTAAACCATGTAAACGCACAGAGAATAAAGGCTCTTGCTTTTGCCCTCCTTTATTTCGGACACCGTGAGAATGAGCTTCTCCCCCGTGGTGCACAACAACACTGAAAACACTGTGCGGCTGCCACAAGGGGGCGTATTCCGACGGTCGTGTCCAAATGTCGTGTGCAGTGGAAAGGCGGCTTAAACGTGTTTGACCACTACTCTCGAGTCTCACGTCTTTTGAAGTGCAGCGCATGAGAGAGGAAAATGCATTCTGTGTGAACGGCCCCAACAGTCAAACTCATTCAATCAGCGCGTTTACATTGAAAAACATCAGAAAAGTAGTGTGTTGGAAAGGAAAAATGCATTCTGTGTGAACGGCCCCTAAGCAGCATGCAAAATACTCAAGGAAAAAAGCGCGTCCTGTGTGAACGACCCCTGAATGATAAGGAAATGTGTGAACTAATCCCTTATGAAAACGGTGCTGTTGTTTCAGGTATGAGCGGCGCCCCCTACTGTAACCAGAACATGATGACATCGCATCATAATCTCCCTCATAACCAGCACACATCTGAACTCATGGCATCAGGAGACGGTGAGACCACAAACCTACACGCATAAAACATCTGAACGACATTCAGCAAATGTATTAACGCGCAGTAATGCAAAACGGTTGAAAACATTTGATTCTGTTAGTAATTGTTGTTCAAGTTATTGTTAAACGTTTTAGGCCAAAACATTTTACACAAACTAATGAGAGGAATAACGAAGCTTCAATGCCTTTCAGAGTTTCCTGCCACAGGAAGAGACATCCCTTGGAGCAAGTCACTTGCTTTCTCTATCAGCGATTTACAGATTGATCTGCCTTTTTAAAACCAAAAGAGTTTTGCAAAGTCAAACCTAAATTGCAAATAATACAATAAATATTCATGCAAATGTGTATTTAAGTTGGTAGAGTTAAGAAAAATGTATATGAGCCTTAATTATTCCATGATATTTAAAGCTGAATGTATTATTCAACAGTCTAAGACATGCATTTGGCTCTTTAAGTTAATGCTTTCAAAACAAAATATCCCTAAATACACATAAAACATATTAGAGTTAGGTTATTAATCAGAGCAGCTTCTTTAAAGTGTTTGAGTCCTAATATAAGGTTTATCTTGTGTCCGTCAGCCTCTTGTTTCTCCACTCCTCGCTCGATGCTGAAGCTCAGTAAGAAGCGCGCTCTGTCCATCTCTCCGCTGTCGGACGCCAGTGTGGACCTGCAGACCGTCATCCGCACCTCTCCAAATTCTCTAGTGGCGTTCGTCAACTCTCGCTGCGGTCCCAATAACCCCAGCTCATACGGGCATCTGTCTGTGGGCACCATGAGGTGAGGTGCAGCCAGCAGAAACACTTATTGCCATATTCACCTTATTTTTCTCATATGAGCGGATGCAGCCATTGGAATTATTTTCAGCCATTAATTTTCAGATATTATAAACAGCTTGTTTTGATGCTTGGTGTTGCAAACTGACATTTTCTTATAATATTATTCTGCTTTTTATGTGTAGTCATGAACACACTTGATTGTAGAGCAAGTAGTTTGACCGTTTTCTGCTGCTTATTATTGCTAGTGGGTTCCACTAGGTGGGTTCTGACTGAATCTGAATGTTTAACCCAATCGCAAAAATGAGTGCACTTCCATATAGAAGAATAAGGTCAATAGAAATCAGACACACTATTAAAAATATCTGTTAATGAACAGTTTCTATGTATAGTGATTCACAAGTGTTTATGTGTGTGTGGTGAATTGCATTATGGGATGTTCATCTCTGCTTTGTCGACTTTAGATGTTCAAATTCAGCTCTACAGTTTAACAAAGTGACTTTTACTGACATTTTTGTTATTTGGAATGATATAAGTAGTAATATCTAGAGAAATAAATCTGTAAAATAACAGAAAATGTTTTGCAGTTTATTACAAGGTGTTTGTAGAGTAATATTCAACACCAACACACACAATATAGCACTGCACATTATTACACATGACAATAAAAGTCACTTTTTACTACTAGTTTAAAAGTTGTTGGAAGAAAGATCAAGATCCCACAATGCACTGTATATTCACCTTATTTTATTTTGAATTCCTCTTTTATGTCAAATAAAATCACATCAATTTAGTTTTTTCAGTTCATGACCTGTTTAACATCCCGAGCTTGTGCTTTTAGTCCATCGTTGGGTTTTTCCAGCTCCATCAACTACTCCAGGCCACAGGGGAACATCTACAGTCATCCTGTCCCATCATGCATCGGGGCTCCGGCTCGCCTGCCTCCACACAACCCCAGACTGCACACGCCTGCCAAACACACACATGTGAGACGCACTCACTGCAATTATTCATGCATTCTTTAATTCATGCATTCAATAATTTACTTATTAATTTATGCATGCATGCATTCATTCATTCATGCATTTATTTATTCATTCATGCATGCATTCAATCATGCACTCGTTCATTCATGTATTCATTTATTCATAAAGTCATGCTGTCATGCATTTATATATGCATGACAAACACTCGTGAGACACGTCATGCTCGCTGCATGCTCAATGATCATGCTGATATTATCCATTCATTAATTCATGCATGTATTCATTCATGCATTAAATCATTTGTTCGTTAATTTAATTAATTTAGGTTTATATTTATTCATTCAATCATGCGTTTGTACATTCATGTATTCATTTATTCATAGTCATACAAAGACACATGAGACATCATGCTCACAGCATGCTCAGTGATCATGCATGTATTCATTCAATCATGCATGTATTCATTCCTTCATGCATTAATTAATTAATTCATGCATGCATTTAATCTTGGATTCGTTCATTCATGTATTCATTAAGTCATAGTCATGCATTCATTCATGCATGCCAAACACATGAGACACATCATGCTCACTGCATGCTCATGAATCATGCTGATATTATTCGTTCAAACATTCGTTCATTCATTATTTCATGCATGTATTCATTCATGCATTTATTAATTTATTTGTTTATTCATTTTTGCATGCATGCATTCATTCATTCATGCATTTTTCATTTATTCATGTATTCATTACTGCATGCCAAACACACATGTGAGACACGTCATGCTCAGTGACCATGCTGATATTATTCGTTCAAACATTCATGTATTCATTCATTCCTTCATGCATTAATTTATTTATTAATTTATGCATCCATTTATTCATTCATGCATGCATTCAATCTTGCATTTGTTCATTCATGTATTAATTAATTCATTCATAAAGTCATAGTCATGCATTCATTCATGCCAAACACGTGAGACACGTCATGCTCTCTGCATGCTCATTAATCATGCTGATATTATTCATTCATTATTACATGCATGTATTCATTCCTGCATTAATTAATTAATTTGTTTATGAATTTATGCATGCATGCATTCATTCATTCATTCATGCATTTACTTATTCATTCATGCATACATTTGTCCATTTATTTATTCATTCATGCATGCCAAACACACATGTGAGACACGTCATGCTCACTGCTTCCTCATTGACCATGCTAATATTGTTCGTACATGCATGTATTCATTCATTCCTTCATACAATAATTCATATATTATTTAATTCATGCATTTATTCATGTATTTATTTATTTATTACACCTGTCAAGAATAAAGCATGCACTAGTTCTTAAAATAAAACTAAAAGTGAACTACAACTTATGCAAATATAAACTAAACCACTTTAGTATTGCAAAACAGTCAAATGTACTAGCTGTAAATGGTATTGTAAATTAAATAAGTAAATGTTTTTATTACATAAATATACATCAAAATATATTATATTATGAAATATAAAAAAATACAAAAATAAAAAAAACATTCAGAATATAATAAAACTTACTTATAGGGTCTGAAATCTGTTAATTTTGCTTGTATTTTTTATTTTTATTTAAATATTTCTATTAAATTTTTAATTAGTTCAGTTTCATTTTTCTACTTTCTACATGTTTTGTGGAGTTAAATTGTAAAGTGGGCAGAAAAGCAAATATGGAGCTTTTTTGTGATTAAGGGCTGCTCAATATTTTTATTTATTATCATATATTTTAACATAAAAAACCTTATTTACTGTTTTGGTAAGTAATGCTAACTCTGATATGTGTGTGTGTTAAGCTGAAGACGGAGCCTGTCCTGGGCAGTGTAATGGACAGCATCAATATTAAAGGTTTGGAGGATCATTCGGAAGGAGACGTGGCCAGTCCGTCCTCCACCGGGACGCAGGTATTAAGAGCTGATCCTCAAACTAATGTTGTGTTTAAATCAAGTCAAGTTGAGCTTTATTGTCATTCCTTTCAGTTTTATTTGTTTTCTGCATGGCCAAGATTGAATTATTATAGAAATTACATCAATACAAAATGCAAAACAACAAGTCCGCTACATTTGTGGACATACAGTGGAACGAAATATCATGTCTCACAGGACCACGGTGCCACACCAATAAACATAATACTAAATAGGCAACCTGAAGTTTCACACAGAATTTTAAGACATTTTAAGAATCGATTTGATCAAGTAGTTTTTACCAGATGTCGTATTGGGCATATGAGAATTACACATGGTTTTTTACTCCAAGGTGAAAACCCTACTCAGTGTTTGTGCTGCAAAACTCCTCTTACTGTAAAACATATTTTACTGGACTGTCCTGCTTTTACTGATTGCAGAAGGACTTTTTATGAAATGAACTCTTTTAAGGACATTTTTGACAAAGTGAAACCAGAAAAGATTTTAGAATTTTTATCATGTATTAACACAAAAAATCTTATTTAATTTATGTTTTATTTTGTTTGTTGATTTTTAAATTGTATATTTATTGTTGAAAGATTCCTGACATGAAGATAGCCTTGGTTGCTGACATGGCACTAAAAAAAATAAATAATAATAATAATAATAATAATACATTACATAATACTATGGACCTAATACTAAATACTAAGTACTAATACTAAATAGGAACGCAACACTGGGCGCATGAACTTTTTTTACACCTATAACTAACATACTAGAGTGCCAATCTAACTATACTATCTACTAACTATACATATACTATACACACTTAACTATAAACATAACCCAGGAGAGACTGTACAAGTGCTTTTACACAAGATATATTGTGCAAGATGTTGTGCATTTAAGGTTGAAGAAAACAAGTAGTGCAACATGATTGTGTGGTACAGTACATTCCTTGTTAGAGAGAGTTTAAGGCAAGTGTCCGGTGCATATAAGCTGCGTCCCAAATCGCATTCTTATGCACTATTTTACGCCATTTTGTAGTATAAATAGTGTAAGTAGTGCGTTCACACTGAAAACTCTAATAATAATAAGTGTACTTTAATTACCCGGATGATGCACTCATTCAGCTGGTATAATGAAGTGTGTAATGATGGACACTTCACACACTCAACGACCGCAGGTTTGCTTACATAGCGAAAAGGGGCGGAGCTATCGGACACGCATGTTGGATAACTTTATTTATTTTGGATGGTGAAAGCAAAATTCTCCTATGAGAGTGATTATAGCGCCTCCCTATGGTGAATGTGGTTATACTCACGGCAGGTATTATTCAATAATTCTGTCGTTTATTTTACTTATTTGGCAACCGTCAAACGTCATCAGGGAAACGGTTTGAATTTCCGCTTAGTAAAAAACCATTAGTGTGCCATTTGGGACGACACTACATACATGTACTATCCTGTTGAGTGTGTAATTGCTTAAGTACATAGTGCATGAGTGCATAGTGTATATGGGACGCAGCTATAGAGAGAAGTGTGTGTTTTCTACAGGTGGTTTGTCAAGCCCACTCACCTCTGTGAGGCACACTCAGAAATGCACGATGGTTTTTTAAAAAGACATGCTTGTAGTTATTAAGAAAGTGTCTGGTGCAAATGTGTGTTAAAGGGTCTGAGAGATGAAAGAGTGTATTTTCTACAGGTGGTTTGTCGAGCCCACTCACTGGTGTGAGGCACATGTTTTGAGGTTTTCATGTGGTGTGGGGTACTGGTTTTGGTAGCTTGAATTGTGGAGAATATTTCAGAGTTGGGTAAGATGATTTGGAGTTGAGGACGTTCACTAACAGCATGTGGGAAGAAACTGTTGAGTAGTCGATCTTCTTATACTCTGTGTGTTTCGCAGGATCCACTTCTTGGTTTACTTGAAGGCAGAGATGATCTGGATAAAGAGGAGAAACCCGAACCCGAGGCCATTTATGAGACGAACTGCCACTGGGAGAGCTGCAGCAAAGAGTTCGACACGCAGGAGCAGCTGGTGCATGTAAGACTTTCACTCTTCAGTCACTAGCTCTGTTTCCAACCATTTTTAAGTGCATTTTGTATTATCCCAATAGAAAATGCTTAATGCACTGCAAAAAAGCTTTTTTGCTTTGATTTTTCCTTGTTACTATTCCAAATACTAACAAATGGTTAAATTAAGAAGTGTTGAGAAGTTTTGTGTTCCTACACTGCAAACTCAATAGTGTCACACCCCTGTTCAGATTATGGTTCAATCCAATCTCCATTCACTCAATCTCTGGCCAATCAGGACTGCCTCAAGGGCTTTACTAACTGCACCTGTGCTCACAGTTTGCTATTTTCTGGCTGCACATGGTTGAACTGTGCAGAGGACTGAATTTGATTTCCTTTGTTTTCCTGTGTGTGCGTATTTGACGATGTAAGTGGCTTTTGTATGATTTAGGTTGACTTAAAGGGCCATGAAACCCCCTCGTTTCAGCAGGGTGTTTTCACACCTCTACTTTAGAAAAAGTCAGAAAAGTGGGCGTGTCCAGCTCTGTTTAGGGGGGAGTGTCGGAGGAACTGAAGAGGGATGGTGTGGGAGTGTCTATTTGGGCACGCGCTGAGTTTCAGAGTCAAAACTCACACACAGGGGGAAAGTGATTGTGTTTACATGGACATCTGTCAATGTAAAAAAATGTTTAAAAAAATGTTCTCTCCGTTAAACAGAAATTGGGAAACGGTCTAATAATTCAGGGGGGCTAATAATTCTGACTTCAACTGTATGTATATATATATATATATATGTATATGTATATATATATTTCTGTGTTTATTTTTTTTAACTTTTTGTTAGGTGTTCAGGTCCTACAATCTCAATATAATTCCACAGACTTTTTTTAAATAAAATTATGCATAGAAATTAAGCATACAAAAAAAACCGGTGTCATAAGTACAATACTGTAAATCCATGCATTTTTCACGCCAGCTGTTAAAATGTATAAAATTAGGTGAATAAAATTATTCCGGAGTTGAACCAGTGAAAAAGAGTGAATGAACACGTGCATCAACCAAAGTTTTCGAGGCTTAAACCTGTTCATAAAAAATTAAGTGTTGCTAGTCTTCCACTAAAGCGGGGTGTCAAACTCAAACTTAGTTCCTGGAGGGCCGAAGCCCTGCACAGTTTAGTTCCAACCCTGCTCCAACACACTTACCTGTAGGTTTCAAACAAGCCTGAAGGACTCAATTAGTTTGATCAGGTGTGTTTAATTAGGGTTGGAACTAAACTGTGCAGAACTGCGGCCCTCCAGGAACTGAGTTTGACACCTGTGTTCTAAACTCTGCTTCTATTTGTGCAGCACATCAATAATGAGCACATCCACGGAGAGAAGAAGGAGTTCGTTTGCCACTGGAAGGACTGTTCCCGAGAGCAGCGTCCGTTTAAAGCGCAGTACATGCTGGTGGTGCACATGCGCAGACACACCGGAGAAAAACCACACAAGTGCACTGTGAGTACTGACACTTTCCATTCATTTCCTTCTAATGATCTGCAATGATTAACAACATATGTACACTTCACACTTGTATGTTCATGTGCATCAGTTTGAAGGCTGTAATAAAGCATACTCGCGGCTGGAGAACCTGAAGACGCATCTGCGCTCACACACCGGAGAGAAACCCTACGTTTGTGAACACGAGGGCTGTAACAAGGCTTTCTCTAATGCTTCAGATCGAGCAAAGCACCAGAACAGAACACACTCCAATGAGGTAATATCACACACATTAATGCATGCACTGATATACACTTGTGTCTTAATAAACTCAGTATCAATGCATGCACTGATATACACTTGTTGACAAAATTTGCAGAATGTTTTTTTATGTGTAATAAATCTGTTTATTTTTATAATATAATCCTCACCAGCATCAGAAATGGTGTATATACATTTAACCCGTTAATGTCTGAGTTATAGTACAACACATGCGGTTTTGTTTCCAACCTTTCGGCTATAGCTGTAGATCTAAAAGCCAGTGTTGCTCTGTTGTTTGTGGTCTCCAGAAACCGTACATTTGTAAGATTCCCGGCTGTACGAAGCGCTACACAGACCCGAGCTCTCTGAGGAAGCATGTAAAGACGGTACACGGACCGGAGGCGCATATAACGAAAAAACACCGTGGCGACACCGGCCCTCGTCCTCCTGGTCTGACCACTGCAGGACAGAGCTCTGAGCTGCTGATAGAGAAGGAGGAGAGAAACCGAGAAGATTGTAAACTACTCGCTCCAGACAACACACTGGTAAGACTACGATTAAGACAGCATTCACTTTTTTAAAAAGAAGTGTGTAGTCTCTACAACTCACCAAAAAACAATCCAGCCAATGAGGAGATACAAGTCTGCATTACCAATAGGTTCTTTTTTTAAACCTGATTGGATGGGTATACGCTTTAATATCAACAGTATGACTTGAATAATTTCTGTCTTCCTCCAGAAATCTCAGCCGAGCCCTGGTGGCCAGTCTTCCTGCAGTAGCGAACGTTCTCCACTAGGGAGCGCCAATAATAATGACAGCGGTGTGGAGATGAATCTTAATGCGGCGGGAAGTCTGGAGGATCTGACCACACAGGAGGACAGCGGGAATGCTGGTGTGTCCGAATCCAGCGCTACCATCAGCTCGGGGGGAATGTGCATGTCTGTACAGGCCTTGAAGAGGTTGGAAAACCTGAAGATCGACAAACTAAAGCAAATTCGTCGGCCGACGCCACCTGGGCGCAACGCAGGAAACAAACTACCAGCTCTCTCAGGTAAAGGGCATAGCAAGTTAAGCATTTCTCTTCCATTACAATCAACATTACCATTACGCTCAAACTAACCCTTCCCTTCTCCTTCCAGCAACAGGAGAGATGATGAGCATGTGTGCTCCCTCGCCCCTGCTCTCCAACCGGCGTGTGATGGAGCTTTCAGCTCCCGATATGGGTGGAGTCACTGGAATGTCCTGCCCTCCGAACGACCGGCGCGGCAGCGGCACCAGCAGCCTCAGCTCTGCTTACACCGTGAGCCGCCGGTCATCAATGGTCTCGCCATACCTGTCCAGCAGACGCTCCAGTGACGTGTCTCACTGCCAGTCTGTGATGGGGGGTGAGGTTCCTGGTGACCCGCTGTCTCCGCAGAACAGCCAAAGAGCCGGACTGTGCCAGAATTCTGGAGGTTTACCAGGTCTTCCGAGTCTTACTCCTGCACAGCAGTATAGTCTAAAGGCTAAATATGCAGCAGCAACAGGAGGTCCACCCCCTACCCCGCTTCCCAACATGGACCAGGCTGGCACTCCTGCAAGACATGTGGGATTCTTGAGGGAATGCCAAGGCCAGCCTCTTCCTCCATTTCTGCAGCAAGGTGGCACAAGAAGACACAGTGCTAATGCCGAATATGGCACAGGAGTGATCTATCCACATCAGGCACCTGGCAACAACACAAGACGTGCCAGCGATCCGGTGCGATCCGCGGCCGACCCGCAGGGTTTACCCAAAGTGCAGCGATTTAACAGCTTGAGCAACGTGTCTCTTATGAGTCGCCGGAATGCACTGCAGCAGTGCGGATCTGATGCTGCTCTGAGCAGGCACATGTATTCGCCTCGACCACCTAGTATCACTGAAAATGTCATGATGGAGGCCATGGGTATGGATGGGAACACCGAAGGCAGACAGCAGGGCAACATGATCCCAGGTGGAGACCGAAGCTACATGGGCTACCAGCACAATCCTCATCAAGCAAGTCAGCTGTCCCCTGGGCAAGAAAGTCTAGGATGCATTGACCAAGTTTATCAGTCTCAAATGCAAGGTCAGTATCAGCGTGAGGAGAGTTGCTCCACCGGCGTAATGGGTCAGACTGACATTGCAAATAATCTACTACAGCAAGCTGAGTATGGGATGAGCACTTGTCAGCTCAGTCCCTCAGGTCCACACTATCCTAGCCAAGGGGATGGATCAGGACCTTGGGGACAAACCAACCAGCTCCACAGCCCTGGGATGCAATACCAGGGTGCAGGAATGCAAGGACAGCACTACACTCAACAGGGCATATATGACCCTACATCTAACCCTAACCTTCAAAGAGTTACTGTAAAACCAGAGCAATTCCATCCATCAATGGGAGGATCTAGTTCTTGCCAAAACACTAAAGCTCTGCACCAGAATAGGCATAATGCAAATATGCAAACATATCCACTACAAGGCCAAGGTATTATGAATAGGTCCTCCAGTGCAAGTTGTGACTTCCATCATTCCCAAATGGGAACACAACCAAACCAGGGGGGATCATTCCAGAGTGGTACTGGTATAAACCTTGCCCTGGCAGAAAGCCGCAGATCACAAACACCAATGCATCAAATGAAGGAAATGATGGTCAGGAACTATGTGCAATCCCAGCAAGCTCTCCTATGGGAACAGCAGCAAGAGCAGAGTGTGTCCGAAAAACCTGATGGCATGGACATGGGACAAACACAGATGATGCAGCACAGTCCGCAGCATCAACAAGCCAACCAGAATCTTTATCCTGGTAACACTTACCAAGGCTACCCAAATCAGAACTTGATGAGCCCACAGCAAAATCGAGTTCCTGGATCTGTCAAAGAGCAAATGCAAAGCTCCTGCTATGGGCCAGACATGATTCCAAGGCCACCCCAAGTGCGAAAATCTTTAAGTCGCCAAAACAGCCTTTCCCAACAAGCAGGTGGAGCTTACCTGGGAAGCCCACCTCACCTCAGCCCGGTCCACTCTACAGCTAGTCCCAGAAGAGGAGTTAGACTCCCGCCAGTTCAACAACAACAACAACAGCAGCAGCAGCATTCAGAAAACTTCAACAACAACAACAACCCAATGTACTACTCAGGCCAGATACACATGCACCACGACCTAGAGAAGACTCCAGAGGGTCCATGCCTTGCTCAGCAGCACCTAACAAGCTCAGACCCCACTACAAAACCAACATCAATCTCTTATCCAGACCCTGCCCCCATGTCCAATGCCTTAGAACACCTAGACTTGGAGAACGCTCAGATTGACTTTACCTCCATCATTGATGACCAAGAACCTTCATCTTACAGTCCAATCAATGCACCTATAGGACACAATCAATGCTCCTCTCAGACGTCCTCTCGCCTTACAACACCCCAAAACTCCATCACACTTCCCAGTGGCCTTTCTAATATGGCAATCGGAGACATGAGCTCAATGTTGACATCCCTTGCTGGGGAAAACAAGTATCTAAACACGTTATCTTAAGGTGCTTCGGCTTATAATCGGGCTAAAGTGAACTTGTAGAAGGTGATGTATCAGGACCTTGTGGGACAAGCCAATACTAGGGTGCAGAAATGCAAGGACAGCGCTACTCTCAACAGGGTGTATATGACCTTACATCTGATCCGAGCTTTCAAAGAGAGACTATAATACCAGCCCAGTTCTATCTATACATTGGAGGATCCAGATTCTTCCAGAACTCCAAAACACTTCACCAAAATAAGCCTAATGCAAATTTGCAAACATATCATCCACCACAAAGGATGGAACAAGTATCTAAACACAATCTCTTAAGGTGCTTCTGCATATAGTTGGGCCAAAGTGAGCAAGGAAACGCCAAGGATTAACCCTTGCAACACTAAAGTTTCCTCTAAACTTTTTACTCCTGGAGTCCTATGTTGGATCCATAGCCTAATAGTTTTGTAATTGTGCAAATTATAATACCACAGAGGCCTATTGACTATTAAAGAGGTATTTCGGTCACTACTGTAAGATGATGGAAGTCACATTTGTTTAAAATGTAAATATGAGCATTGGACTCTAAATGGTGGCAGGATAGAAAATACATATCTGGACTGGCTAAAAAAGCCACGTGAACGCTACATAAGATGACTAAAGTGAGGGAATGTGTAAAGAAGAGGCTGGTAGCCACATTTAACTTTTGGTTAAGACATGACTCAAGTGCCTTTGACCATTGTGGCCTCTTTGATTCCTCACAGGTACAACATGTTGGAGAAAACATCCCACATGAAAAAATACTATAGTAATTAATAGTAAATATATAGTTTTATACTATATACATATTATAGTATTTACAATACAGTGTACAGTCCTACTCTTACCTATGGTCATGACCGAAATGACAAGATTTCGGATACAAGCGGCCGAAATGAGTTTCCTTTGCAGGGTGGCAGGGTGCACCATTGTGGATAGGGTGAAGAGCTCTGCCACCCGGGAGGAGCTCGGAGTAGAGCCTCTGCTCCTTCACATCGGGCATCTGTTTTCGGACGCCTACCTACGGAGGTGTTCCAGGCGTTACCCACCGGGAGGAGGCCTCAGGGAAGACCCAGGACATGCTAGAGGGACTATATCTCTCGGCTGGCCTGGGAACGCCTGGGGATCCCCCCGGAGGAGCTGGAAGAAGTGTCTGGGGAGAGGGAAGTGTCTGGGGCTCTTTCCTAAGACTGCTGCCCCTGCGACCCGGCCCCGGAAAGCGATTGATTATGAATGAATGACAATACAGTTTATGAATGCTACATCATGCTGTACCAATAAGGAACAGATAAACTGTAATAGATACTATAGTATACTTTAGTTTTTACTAAAGTAAACTGTGTTGTAGTATAATATTCATGTAGTTGTAGAAAACTACAGTATTCTGTCATTTGTTTATATTAATGTAGGTGTTGTTACAATATCAACTAAAGAATCACAGATTAACTCAAGTACTTTACTATAGTATGGTTTAAAATACTATAGTATTTACTATTCATTATTATTCTATATTATTTTTTCATGTGTGATGATAGTTAAGACAGATGTAGAAAACACAAGTATACGTTGGTTACGACAAAAACGATTAGCGTACGAGTACAGCCAAGTGCAAAAGCTTTCAATGTATACTCTATTTGATAGCGTGCGTATACATAGATGCCAAAACACATTTGTGTGTATTTCTGAAACCCTTCGTGCACACAAGCAGGCATCTAATTTTATTATTGCGTCTATTGCAGTTTGTTGTTTAGTTTCTTTTTTGACTGTGAAACAGCAGTCCAGGCAAGTGTTTCCACCTTGTGGACCAACTACTAAGTGCAACAACAAAAATTCAATGTGCATGTCCAAGCTAAGTGTACACATTACATGCATTTACGTCACATGCATTGTGCACATGCCCTTTCATATACATATTTGGGATTCAAAGAGGAAGAGTGTTCTCGCTAAATCTCATCGCTAACTGTCATAATGGCAGATTACAAAACAGTATTTTAAAGTCAATTATCTCTAGGTCTAGACAAGAGCCTTAGAGTCATGATATTCAAACGTTTAAGTGTTTTTTTTTTACTGATTATTCGACTAGTCTGTTTCAGACAGATACTTTAAAGGGTAACGGCACTGAGTTGTGTTTTTTGTACGGTTTCTGTTAGTCTACGTTGCGCTACATAACTCAAGCTAGCGTGCATATGCATTGCACTGACAACAGCACTGAGCTGAGGAGAAGTGATATGTTTTTATTAAAGGTTTCATACAGTACGAGAGTTACATACAGTGCAGGTACTTGATATTTGTCAAGCTTTTGGTTTACGCCCTAGTTATTTCAACACTTTGTGTACGTTGTGCCTATCATTTAAGTGTTATCAAGGGGTGTGTTACAATAGACAACAACCCGTTAAAAATCTCAGTGTTTCCACTTTTCCGTGGCATACCAAAGACGACTGGCACTGAGACGAATACACACTTGATACTTGCTAGAAACAATGTCATGTGCTTCCATATTGCTGTGATAAAGAATGTTCCTTTTTAATTTCCTTTCTTTTTTTTATGAGAAAAAAAAAACATGTTTTGTGGTTTTTGCATTTCTGCGTGTTTTTGTATCTGTCACAGTTCACCCAAACCTTTTTGCTGGCAAAAGTCCATAAAGTAGCAACAGATTTATGATATTAGCATTTATCTCATCTATTTACAAGGAAACTAAGTGATATTTTTGCGTACCGTTTTCTACGTTTTTGTACAAAGGTACTATATTATACCAGTTTATAAATAAAACAGAGCCTGTGATGGAAGAAAATGATGTGTTGCACTCTAATGTTTGTTTGTGAATATCTATGTGCTGCTTTCTCATTAGTAAGTATGCTGGAAAGCACACCACATATACACCTATACTTGTAGAGCACAAAACCAGTCATAAGTTGCATGGGTATATATTTTAGGAATAATCAACAGTACATTGTATGAGGCCAAATCATTAGGAAATTAAGTAAAAATCATGTTCCATGAAGACATTTTGTACATTTCCTGTAATAAATATTTCAAAACACAGTAATGCTTTGCTAAACCATATGGGAATCTGATATATGGCTATATTTATACAAAATTTCAAGAGTTCACAGCTGATGATTGGTAATAAGCTAGTTTGGCATGCTGTCCCAGGAGAGAGCCCTGAGCTCATGAGATCCTCGAGCCTGGGGCTACCTCCCGTTTGCAGGGCGAGAGGGGAGTTTGAGTTCAGGTAGATCTCGAGAACTCTTCCCCCCCTTTTAGGGATTGCTATGAGGGTGAGCTGCTGGTGGAGTTAACTATGGTGCTGATTTGGTTTAGTCAATTTACTTATGTCTCATGTTTTGGACTGTGGGAGGAAACTGGAGGACCCGGGGAAAACTCACGCGAGCATGGGGAGAACATGAACTCCACACAGAAATGCAGACTGGACGGGTTGAGACCCGAACCAGAGGCATTCTTGCTGTGAGGCCACAGTGCTAGCCACTGGGCCGTCGTGCTGCCCTATAGGGGAAAAAGAGGAGGAGAGGGGGTGGAAGGGGGGATTCTTCAAGATGAAGATGACTAAAGGTAAGATGCTTTGGTTATTTATACCGAGTTAGGAATCGTATGATTGGTGGTTCGTACATTAGCTTGACTCGGGGACCAGCCGTGTCAATCATAAGAGCGTGATCCTCTCGAAATTAGTTTAAAATAAACTTCACAAAAAGTATGGCTCATAAATTTGAATATATATGTGCATATTTGTAATGAGTAAATGGTTTAGGATTTTTTGCTGCATTTTATTTTTGGAAGAATACTAATGGTTGAACTATATAGGCCATTCTAGCATTCATATGTGACATATTTTATACACTGTGTGTGGACTTGTATGAAATGAATGTGATTTGCATATATTGCCATAGCTCAGATTTCTATATGCGAAGAACTTGGAATTTAGACAAATCAAAGGTGATTTTCCTTAGTGTTTTGATATTTTATTGATAAAAAACCAAAATCAAATCAAATCACTTCTGTTGTCACATCATCAGCAGCACGTGTGCACGTGTGTGATGAGTAAAAAGCTTAGGTGCTGGCTCCAGACTTTACAAAATACAGAGTGCAAATACAGCAACAGTGCAAAATACAGACTGTGCAAAATACAACGACAGTGCAAAATACAACAGCATACTCCTCAAAAAAATAAAATAAACAGAACAATGTGAAATTGACAGCGATATGTACAATGAATAGGTGTATCCATAGTTGTAGGCAGTATTGTTTCAAGTATGGATTGGAAAAAGTGCAGTGCATGCTGCATGTTGATGGTGTGCAGTGAGGGGTATGAAAGAGTCTGTGTGAGGTGTGTTAAGTGTTCATCAGCCTGATAGTCAAAAATTACCAAGCCATTAACATCCATAGCTTAGGAGCAAAATCACTAAGTCAATGACATCCTTTAGTATATCTTCCTTTGTGTTGTGTTTGCAGAATTTTTATGTTTTGGTGAATTTCAATGGTTAAAATAAATCTGCAATTGGCCATTTTTTGCAATATTTTAAAAATACATGCGGGCATATTTGGCATGTTTTATATATCTAAAATTAAAACAAACTTAATTTGGACAGCCTCAAGATTACAAATTTGTAATTGCACTGTATAAAAGATCTGTAAAACAGCCGTTTTCTTTATTTTGTGATTCCTGTTTTTATTTTCCCGTATTTATTTCTGCCTTTAAACTGCATTATGGGATCTTGATCTTTGTTCCAACAGCTTTAAAGCTTAAATAGTGAGTTTTATGAAGATTTTAATAGTGCAGTGCTGTATTGTCTGGGTTGGTGTTGTATATTACTCTACAAAAAACCTTGTAATAAACCGCAGCACATTTTCTGTTATTTTACAGACTTATTTCTCTATATACTTAAACATATCATTTCAAACTTACTAAAATATCAATAAAAGTCTCTGTTAAACAGTTTAATTTTCAACATCAAAATTGGACAGAGCAGAGATCATCATCCCATAATGCAATTCACCACCACAAATAAACACAAATCAACACTTGTGAATCACAAAACGGATAATTAACAGGTATTTTTACAGTGTTTATTTGAGCTAAATATTGTCCTATCATAACAAAAATTAATACAAAGTTTGTTTACGCAGCTTTCAGATCATGCAAAAATCTCAATTATTTATGTTTTGCACTGTATGCACTGTAAAATGTAGAGTTCCACACAATGAATTTATGTTGGGACAAAATGAAGGAATTATTTGCAAAAGTCATTAATTTAGACTGATTGCTATGGTTTTGTAGGGGGGGTGAATATTTTTTTGTGTAATTTTTATATATACTCACCGGCCACTTTATTAGGTACAGGGTCGGACCACTTTTGTCTTCAGATCTGCTTTAATCTTTCGTGGCTGAGATTCCACAAGCTACTGGAAATATTCCTCAGAGATTTTGCTCCATATTGACATGATAGCATCACACAGTTGCTGCAGAATTGTCGGCTGCACATCCATGATGCCAATCTCCCGTTCCACCACATCCCAAAGCTGCTCTATTGGATTGAGCTCTGGTGACTTTGGAGGCCATTTGAGTACAGTGAACTCATCGTCATGTTCAAGAAACCAGTCTGAGATGATTTATGTGTGCTCATTATTACATGTGTTATCCGGCTTTATGACATGCTGCGTTATCCTGCTGGAAGTAGCCATCAGAAGATGGAGACACTGTGCTCATAAAGGGATGGACATGGTCAGCAGCAATACTCAGGTAGGCTGTGGCGTTGATGCTCAATTGGTACTAATGGACCCAAAGAAAATCTCCCCCACACCATTACACCACCACCACCAGCCTGAACCGCTGATACAAGGCAGGATGATCCATGCTTTCATGTTGTCTGAGCCGAGCATCTGAATGTGTCAGCAGAAATGGAGACTCATCAGAGCAGCAACGTTTCTCCAATCTTCTATTGTCCAGTTTTGGTGAGTCTGTGTGAATTGTAGCCTCAGTTTCCTGTTCTTAGCTGACAGGAGCGGCACCCGGTGTGCTCTTCTGCTGCTGTAGCCCATCCGCCTCAAGGTTGGACGTGTTGTGTGTTCAGAGATGCTCTTCTGCAGAGCTCGGTTGTAGCGAGTGCTTATTTGAGTTACTGTTGCCTTTCTATCAGCTGGAACCAGTTTGGCCATTCTCCTCTGACCTCTGACATCAACAAGGCATTTGCGCCCACAGAACTGCCGCTTACTGGATATTTCCTCTTTGTCAGGGAATTCTCTGTAAACCCTAGAGATGGTTGTGCGTGAAAATCCCAGTAGATGAGCAATTTCTGAAATACTCAGAGCAGCCCGCCTGGCAGCAACAACCCTAGAGATGGTTGTGCGTGAAAATCCCAGTAGATCAGCAGTTTCTGAAATACTCAGAGCAGCCCGTCTGACACCAACAACCATGCCACGTTCAAAGTCACTTAAGTCCCCTTTCTTCCCCATTCTGCTGCTCAGTTTGAACTGCAGCAGATCATCTTGACCATGTCTACATGCCTAAATGCATTGAGTTGCTGCCATGTGATTGGCTGATTAGAAATCTGCGTTAACGAGCAGTTGGACATGTGTACCTAATAAAGTGGCCGGTGAGTGTACATATAACATATAAACAAAATGGAGCACATATTACGGTAAAATAAACAGTGCTTTATGGTTTTCTGGGAGAGTCTATCAGTAGTCCCATTCCTTAAAAACACACACAGATAATTAACTTTCACTCCCTCATGATTGAATTCGGCAGTGTCTACACAAATCTCATGTGTTTTGACCTGTAGTTTCTGGTCAATCAACTACATTTAGTCATTTAGCAGACGCTTTTATCCAAACGAGGACAAGGAAGCAATTTACACAACTATAAGAGCAACAATGACGAAGTGCTGTAGGCAAGTTTCAGGTGTGTAAAGTGTAAGAAGCAAAACAATAGTAAAAATTTATTTATTTATTTTTTTTGTAGTACAGTTAGCGGTGGAGCCAGAGAGGCAATTGCAGATTAGGAAGGGAAGTGGAGACTAAATAGTTGAGTTTTTAGTCGTTTCTAACTATAATCCCAACTCAACATTGCATATCCTGCGATGTGACTATTGCGGATGCACACATTGCGATATCGATGCTCAAATGACATGCTGTGCAGCCCTAGTTTCAGCTCATTACTTCTTTCGTCCTATAGATGGCGTCAAAGCTCCAGTTCATGCCCGTGAGAGCCACACACAGGGTTTACATTACACTGGCATATTAGATCCCTCCTCCTTTAGTTACAAAGAGAACATTTTTTGCTCACTAATGCTGAAATCTCTGTGACAAAGCTAATCCTCTCCATACTTGCCCTTTCTCTGTCCCTGATTATAAGATCAAAAGAAAGATTTTCCTGGAGTACATGCCAGTGTGTGTGTGTGTGTTTGAGTGTATAATGCTGTGGCTCCCAGTCCCTGGTACCCTGATTCGGCCCCAAGGATATAATACAGTGTACGACATGAAAACCTGCCCTCGATACGACCATCGCCAACTCCGCTGACTCAATTCTCCCATCTGTTATGACTCTCCGCTTCTTCAGTTCACTTTGTGCACTAAAAAAATGATTTATTGGATTTACTACTTTTCTTTAAGGTAAGCGGTAGCAAACTATTAATATGGACTGGATTTAAACCAACAACTTAAGTTGAAAATTATAAAATTTATTTATTTATTTAGGGGTTTTTCACCTTTATTTTGATAGGACAGTAGAGAATTCAGACAGGAAAGCACTAAGAGCAGAGAGAGGGGAAGGATCAA